GGAATAAGTGCGCTCATCTACCCAGCGAAATGGAGGCCAATTTATGCTGTTAATATTCATTCATAAAAATAAATTTGAAATATGTCCCTGTGAATCAGCCCACACTTTCTTTACTCATATGAGGCAGAGGTGTACCACATTAGTTTCCTCTGCATCGTTTTTAGACTATTAGCGATGTTGACTAAAGGAAGAAGGGGAATAAAATAAGAATTAAAAGAAAATAAATAAATTATAAATAAGCCAGCAAAAAAACTAGATGAAGAGTGATAGTGAGTGGGTCCCAGAAAGCTTCTTAAAAAGCAAGAACAGATAGTTAGGTCCAAGTTATAATGTGTAGAAAGCAGACTAGATCATTAAAGTTTTAGTAGGCTTCTGTGTGCTCATAAGATTCAAGTGTTGTGAGAATCAGCAAATCAAAATTATATAGGTGCTTTTTTATGAGGCTATATTTTCTTGATTCCTCCAAAATAATAGTCTCAGGTATTTAATAAAACGTTTTAGAAGCACAGAAAACCAGAACCGATAAAAAATTCACAGCTGTTTTGCCTTCATAGAGGATAGCGGTGTCAGTATCGCTATTTATCCGACTGACAAAATCCTGAAAGACTAGAAATTAAAAATTAATAAAAGTTCTAAATAAAAAAGAAAATATTAATTTTTGACTGTAAACGATATTAACGACTGTAAACTTATATTCTATGCCATTGAAAGATCATTTCTTGCGGAAGAATGAAATTTACAAAGAAGCTAACTTATACTTAGTAGACAAAAACGAGAACAAGCCAAAATTGGCTCAACTATCTACCTCGGATCCATTTGAATCTGAGTTCGTGCGATTAGTGAAGCCGACAGGTTCTTCTGCCTGAACAGGAGTTTGCGTTCTAAGCTGCTGCATGACCTGCTGATGAAGATTCTGTTGCTGGTAAGCATGAGGATAAGACCGGTGTTGGTTATGTACTTGCATATGATGAGAAATATGATGCTGTTGATACTGATTGACACTAAGGTCGGCCATAGTGTCATCAGTCGTCGAAACAGAGTCAAGCTGTCGGGTTGACTTGGCATCGGTCCGGGCCACGGTCAAGTCTCTATCGGATAGGTCTGCTGCAACAGCAGTAGCTGAATAAGGAATGGTGCGTTGAGCCACGGAGGAACAGTTGAGTTCAGTTGTGGAAATAAGCCCAGAAGTTGTGGCAGGCGTTGCAAGGACTTCTGACCTATGAAGAAGGTTATTGGGTCTTGCTAACAGTAAGTTCGGTTGCCCGACAACACTAGAATCGGGGGAGGGGCCAACGTTAGCCACCTGCAGATGTGAAGAGGGAGCAGGTAGAGTGTAGGAAGATGAGGGAGTGGATGTCGGAGTGGCGGGTGCCGTTGCAGGCAGAGAAATTTGTGTAGGGCGAAGGAGTTGCTGCTGCTGAATATGAGGTGCAGTTGGCGGTTGAGCACCAGAATATAGACCAAGCGTTCGTTGTGGCGGGTATAATGGAAGGTCGCTGGACGGTAGGGACATAGAGAAGCCCTGAGAGTTGAATAAATGGAGAAAAATCAATGATTATGTCACTCCGGAAGATCAAAATAGGGTGACAACATCTTTATTTTGGGTTTGTGAAGGATAAGTGCCGATTCACCCCCTTTGCTCAGTAGGTCAGGGGGCAGAAAAAACTCAAGATAACTTAATTAAACGCACAAATTAAAGAACATAATCACTAGATAATCCCAATTAATGACAAGCAGTAAGAAAATTTCAATATAAATTAAGGAAGAACTAAAACCACACGAAATCTATATACATATAGAACATAAATGAAAATAAACAAATTAGCAAGATTCGTGTGGATGGCGGATTAAATATCGATACGTTTACTACGGCTGTTAGCTAGGCAAATATCATGAACTTAATGAAATTCAAAAAAAGGAAGTCGAAAACTACCCTAAGTTAAAAAAGCACGATTTATTTTGAAGAGCTAAGATATCGACGTATCACAGTTACTGTTCAGCCTAATAGACAGAAAATGATAAGTAGGTTCATAAATTGGATAAAAAAAACGATTAATTTTTTGTATTTGGTTTTGCCTGTTTTGTTGTTGATGTTGAGGAAGTCACGGAACCTGCTTCCCGAAGCATAACTCGAAAAATAAAAGTAAAGAAAATTATGAGATTTTGATGGTTAATTTTAAGCAAATATTAATAGAATGATCGTTAGGGTTAAGAGCAAATTTAAAAAAGTATTTGGAACCAACGCGCCAGCGACAGTATTAATGAGCGAAATTTGGAGATATAACAAAATAGAAAATGGAGAAATCCTAATAATCGTTTCTTGCGATGCATTATACGATCAAATTTTCGAAAATGTCAAGAAATTAAGCTACTATGATGCGGTAGGTTACCAAAACTATAGCTAAGGTTTAATTTTGGGTCAAACTATGCGAATCAGTGTACTGTTTTAGTGATAAGAATGGTAGAAATAATTGTAGAAACTTCATTAGGATGTAGGTTTTAGTACTAATGAAAATGATGTTGAGGTTAATCAGAATTGTGTCAGTAATTTAAGAATAAATGTACATAAAAAGTAGAAGAGCTAAAATATCAAGCAAAATATAATAATAATTTGATGTTGACATCACGGTTAAGCTGTATAGTAGGGCGTAGAAGCATGCTCCATAATTAATGAGGCTAGATTAGGAAATTATAGCTGCCAGATGATGGCAAACTGGACGATTTACGAATAGAAGAGAGGAAATAATATGCTACACACTATATGTGATAACGGCTTAATCATGGATAACGATAGCAGAATATATCAAAGTATGCAGGCACCAATAATAAAATAAACAAATAAATGATTATAGAGGTGCAGAAGGCACATTTGTGTATAACATAATGTTATATAAACAAAAGATCGATACACATAGAGACCACACTTGATCACTGGACAAACATAGGCCATATTACGGAACCAGGCTACACTTAAATGAACACAAGAGTTCAAGTGATAGAATCGTTCGAATAATAAAGAAGATAATCAATCCGTAGTAGATTTATGTAAGAGCATATGGAAACTTAGGTCTTAGTAATAAACAATGTAAATCGGAACGACCAAGTAATCTGTAGGAGGTATGTTTCATAGGTTTTTTGAAGGACTAACTGTATAATCACATACCTGAGAGATCATTTTAAATGTAATTATAGATTAAAGGAACCTTTTAAGTATTCTAAAGATAACTTTGTTATGCTCATCCCAATTGTTGCAGACAAAGATAAATATGCTCAAGGATCTTTGGAGATTCCCTCGAGCACAAACAAGTTCTTCATAGTATATGTGGAGAAAAGTTGGGTTTCGAGTAATCTCCTGGTTCATAATTGTTGAGCTTACTTCTATTTCGAGTGAAAGTGTTTGGTGAAAAGAATCGAAGGTCGATTCCACCAGAAGAAGACGGCGGATTTCTCTTGACCAGCTGTCGATTGGCTTTACTGTAAGATTTATGCTGACGCTGTTTCCTAGGTAATATCCTTCGATTACGGTGAAAAGGTGCTAAGCTTTCGTCCGTCATATGACAAACATCGTTACAACCAAGTTCAAGCTAACGAGTCAAGAAAACTCAATGGAAAATCCCTAAAAAGCTGTATATATTCTCTATATCCAGCCTCTCTGATAAGTTATAAAGTGATTTGGTTAGTTACGGTCATGTGTCAACCTCGAAGCCTGTGATTGTGAAAAGAAACACTCTTAGGCAACAATTGATGAAACGAGAACAGAGAATGGTGTGAATAATTAAATAGGCGATATAAAGTGGGTTTGAAAGAGATGTAGACCAAGAAGCTATGACGAAAAATAGAAGCAAGAAGAGATGCCACAGTGGTTGAATAGGAAATTGGTCAAGGGGATTGCCCTCAATTGTCACTTTCATAAGTTGTAACTCTGTGCTAAGGATGGCGCCTCTCACTGACGATGCCGGCGAGACGTCTGGGAATATACTAAGTTAACGATCTTATGCTGGAAATCACGAATGCTACGGGGGAGGACTCAAGACTAGGTATGTTCTACAATATTCCCTTGTTGCTCCGAGCAAGTTGAGAAAAATAAGGGTAAACCAACACTATAGAAGATACAGTTTAGAAATAGCATTTAGTCCTTTGTAGAGAATATAAATTAAGGTAAAATCTAGCCACATTTTTAATCAGTCGATAAGAATTTCATCAGGCATGAGACAATTTGATAGATTAAAATACATAATTCAGGGAACCCAGAGGGGTGCGATAGGCTAGTTATGCATTTATTTTAAAAAAGCGCATTTGGAAAGCAAGGCTAAAAATGGTTCCAGCCTGTCACTTCGTTGATTCATTATGTGGGCCTTATTATACAACTGCAGACCTAAAGAGGTCCTGTGAAACATATGATTGCTAGTCTAGTTGTTTACTTCAATTATTTTGGAATTTGTATCATTTGGCATCTTAATATATAGATTTTTTGCGAATTTGCGCATCTTTAGTGAAGCAATCCTAATAGAAACATGAATCACTGATTTTACCTCTAACAATATACACCACAAGAAATTAAGTAAAATTTATCACATTATTCAATTATAGGTTGTATAAGTGTATATATAAGTATATTATTAGAATTGCCACAACTTAATTATTAATAGTATGCATAATTATAGCATAACAATAGTTTGTCTAAATTATATACACCTAATTAGAAACAACTTCATCCACAGAAATGAACTATTTTGTAATTAGCTAATGCGCAATATGCAATTTAGTTAACAAATCCCCATTTGTAAAGAATATCTCAATTAGATAAAGCTGTAGCTATTATAAGATTTTGCTTCAGGGGTCAAAGACCAAAGATTCGATACAGGCAGTAGCGCACTGATATGGAGATGATGATATCGTTGCATTCT